CCCATTGACGCAGTGGTCAAGGTGACCGTTGACCGGCTCTTCAGAGGCAGGTAACAGGTAACGCATCCCATGTAGCCAACGTAACGCACCTTGTTCGTCCAATCCATCGGCGTCGTAAGAGCGCTGCCTCAAACAGACGGGCGGCAACTTTGAGCCCAACAGAGGCCAATCGGCTGGTTTTGTTCAACAGCGAAATCTTCAGTTCCCTGTCTCGTGCATCCCATCGTGCTTGCTCCCCCGCAACATCTGCAACAGTCGAATCCTGAAAGCAGGAGGGAAAAAAAAGCAGCCACTGACAGTGCATCTTCCCGAGCATTCCACCTCGTCTTCTCCACTGCTGTTGGGGGAATTCTTCCTTTTTGTACAAAACATCGTCCTTCCCACGATTGCTTCTTGACATCCCGACAACCCTTCCAAGTCAGCAACTTCTTGAAGCCTCAGCAGTTCATTGCAAACCAGCATAATGGATCGCTTCCACCAAAGTATGCTTCGTATCCCTATCATATTCTGGCCACAGGGTCAATTAACTAACTCTTCTGACCACAGTCAACCCCTTCGCCAAGCGCGACTCCCACACGACAACCTCCATCACGACCTACAAGGTTCTCTCCCTCCTTACCTGGCTCTTGTCCGTCGTCACCACTGTCTACTACGACACACATGCCCCTACCGACGGAAAATATCTCGGTGGTAGCATCTGGCACCAGAACTATCATCATTACTCTGGCTTCACCCAAAACGCAGTCATCACCTCCATCTACTTTGTCGTGATGTTCATCCTCCAGTTGATCTACACTTCTCACCTCTTCTCCTCCGATGCTACTACCGTCAACGCCGCCGCTTCCGTCAGCAGTCACTTCATCCTCAATAACCTGCTTCACTTTGCCTGGGTGATGCTCTTTGTCAGGTCCCACTTTGTCTGGTCTGAGATTATCCTGATCATCAACTTCTTCAACCTGTCAAGCTTGTATTTCCGCCATGCGGCCTACACAAAGTTCATCCACGCCGGAGCGGTGAGCTGGCCATTGGCATGGACATTTGTGGCGATCTACTGGAATGGAGCGATCATGGTTCCCCATCAGCACAGTCTGGTGGCCAGGATCTTTGCGAATGTGTTTATCTGGAGTTTGTTGGGGTATGGGTTGTTCTTTATCGTTTTGTACAAGGTATGTTCCCCGCGTCAAGCACAATGAAAAGAAGACAGAATACTAACGAATACAGGACTACACCATGGGCTTTGCTCTCAGCGTCTTGTCGGCCTCGCTGGGTGTTGCGCAGTTCTTCAGGCAGATCATTGCCTTCCAGTGGATCTTTGCGTTTACCATCATGTCGGTGCTGTTTGTGGCAACAGTGTTGGTTGCTGTGCCGGCTTGGACTGGGCGGGATGACTTCTTCGGAAATAGGAGAGAGCCTGTTGGAGATGCCGAGAGAGCGCCATTGCTGGCTGATAACTAGAGTTTTCTGAGGAGTGTAAGGAATAGGTATTGAGTGGGAAGATGGAGACTGAGCTGTCAATGAAGAATGAAGGGCGCTTTAGTGATAATGGTTCATGGGGGTGGGGAGTAGGCACAAAATGCTTTGCTGTTGGCTGACTGGGTATTTATTCCTACGCTCATAGCATTTAATATCCGGTTTCTTATTCATGTCTGCTTTTGATGTCGTGAATCTCGTGATGCCTTGCAGTGGTGTTTCGGCTGAGCTAGGTATGACGTAAGTTATTTTATCGATAAGATAAAGCTTGTCGTGATAAGAAAGCATCAAGGGGTCTGTGCTCAAGCTCAGAACTCGGAACTTTAATACCATCTCAAATCCTTATGCCAATTTTCTCTCATAAGGTGTTTCAAGAAACCTCAAGATGAAGGGACCGATCCCCTTCCCCTTGGGGCTCACACTAGGGACAGACGTCTGCATGATCCCCCGCGTCTACTCCCTGATCTCCACGAACCAGGGCACGCCCATCATCCCCACCCTCGGCCGACCCTTCGCCGGGCTCAACAACGTTGACAGGTTCACCAGGAAACTGCTGACCAAGAACGAGCAGCAACGACTGGAGGATATGCCGGTGTATCTTAACGCGATGAAGGTCATGTCATTTCAGGACGGGATCGGCCCGACAAAGTACACTAATATGCTTATGAAGCAGAGGAGTGAGAGGAAGGGGGAGGTTTGGAAACTGGCGGAGTGGTTGGCTGGGAGATGGGCGGCGAAGGAGGCGGTGATTAAGGCTCATTCTTTTCGGGCGGGGACGTCGGCAGGAAAAGTTGCGTTTCGGGGGGTGGAGATTGTTGTTGAGGGGGAGGAGAAGTTAGGGAGGGAGAAGGAGGATGTGGAGGGGGAGGGAAAAGGAGACAGTGAAGAGGAAATGGAACCGAGGGATAAGGGGGATTATATCACGGGGCCGATAGGTGGGATGGTTGGGGTAAGGTCGGAGTTGGGGAGGGCTACGGGCCCGCCGGTGGCAATGATATTGGGGGATGAGAAGAGGGGGGTCAGGGGCCAGGTGGCGCTGTTGAGTATAAGTCATGATGGGGACTACGCGACAGCGGTTTGTCTGGGATTTAGGCCGGAAGCTTTTGAAGGGAGGAAATAAGGGTTAGGTGGTGGGAGAGTGAGGTTGGGATACACTCTCATGTCTGAGGCACTGCTTATGGACACATGGTTGAGGGGTTGTACAAAAAGACCAATATCGAAGGAGGTAATGTATAAAACCAAAACCAAAACGCGCGTGCTCTCTGTTCTGTGTGCTGCTCATTTTTTCAGATCAGTTCTCTCAGGCCTCTTGCATTTCCTCTTCATTGAACCTTGAGGTCCTATCATCCGTCCACCTCATCGTGTGGTCCTTGCTCCCGCTCTTTGTCGTTTGATCTCGTCTTTTCCCCTTGCTCATCCTTTTCCGCCAGACTCACAGGTTGGCAAGCATTGTCATTTGGCCTATCCCACTGGACTACAGGCCAAGCCTCTTTCCCGACCAGTCTCTGCTTCCCAGCTACTTCCTTTCTGTCACTATTATTGACAGTTGGCGATTGTTTGTGCCTGGCCCTGACGTACGGGTCAATGTCCCGCCACTCTACAACAAGACTTATCTTTCCGTTCCCGGTCTCATCAACCTCAAAGTCGGATTCTTGACCACCGGAGATGAAGAAGCAACAGTCTCGTTTGAAGTTCAGAATTCCGTTGGACCTGCTTGGGCTGCTGGGCAAGGTAACAGTGTCACCCAGGTTGGTAGACGAGTTGGTATGTGGAAGAGCACCAAGATCGGGGACAGAATCGAGGGTGAATACTGGGTCGGAAATGAGTGAAAAAATTGGCATTTCGCTCGCTGGATCGGCATCTGGGGGTGTTGTGGTGACATCATCAGCAATGCCGTCAACTGTTAGGTGGCTGTCACTCGCTTCTATACCCGCAAGCAGGCTTTGGTAGATGTTTTCCAGCCTTTCCGCTGCTTGAAGGAGGCGCTCTTCGCCATTTGGTTTTGGTTGAGCTACGGGACCATACTGTCGGGGCTATCGGAGAGCTTTTGTCTCTTGAGGGCCAGATTCTTTCATGTTGCGGGTCCTGATGGCTGAGTGCTGAGGACTGTCAGGCTCTCCCTTGGTCATTAACTCTGATATATGTGTCGGAGTTCGGCTCACAGCTGAATTGGGTGGGTGAAGGGAGTCTTATTGGCCGTAGGCCATGCCCGTTTCTTTCTTTTTGAGTATATACGCTGGCAAACTGGCTGGCATATGAACCGCAGCTCAATGGAGGGTGATCCCCTTCTGCACCGTTTGCAGCCCTCTTCCATGTCTCAAGTCTTCTTCCAGCTTCGTTTTGACTTCGTGTCTGTCCTGAACGGAGAGCTGAGTAGACTTCCACTTTCGCAGATTCCTCATTGTTATTGAGTCTCTCCTCGTTCTCGTCATCGTCGCGTTCGCTGTCTATTTCGCCCGCATAGCTTTCAGTGTTCACTTTATTCCCATGGATTCTGTCCCCATTTTTGAGGTAAGGTAACCAGAATTAAGGGGCGAAAGGGTCGTCTGAAAACAATGCCTTGATTATTCCACGAAGCTTGGCCCCGGGCGTGGGCCAGGCGACTTTTTGATAGCGTTGAGCAACCATTGTTTCAGTCCCAACTCATGGATATAGCTCGGGAGTATATCGGACAGAGCCAAGTCGGCCAGAAGGCGGATCGGGTCGGGAGAGCCCCCATGCAGCAGGCCTTCTATCGAGTTATGTGTTATTGACAAAGACTGGTGGAAACCTCCCCTTTTAAACCAGGATTTTCCGTCGATGGCCCGCATTACCTGGTGGATGATATCAAACTTCGGTAAGATGCAATCACTGGATTTTTGCTAACCTCTTTTCATCGGGCGTGACGTGTTCGAATCTGCATGGCTTTTATAAAGCCTTGGTCCACTGGAGCCATTTTCCTGAATGTTGCCGTTGCTGACTGAAAAGTTGTGGGGTGTTCATGGCTCCTGAACTGAACACTGGCGGAATGCCTCCCTCTGATTAAGTACTTTCTGACGACTTTGCTCTTATTAGACAGAGAAAGGAGAAACGGCTATTGGTAGCATCTATCGTCACTGTCTCATTCATCACTTTTCACGGCGTTTACAAGGGCACAAGCACAGTCAACAAGAATAGCCCCTTTCTTGATTTTTTTTGCAACTCGCCAAGCTTATTCATTACGCAAAAGACCTTTCAGAGTTGACAACATACCTCAGAACTACTGATTACATACCGTATTTTGATCAATTTTGGATATCTATGGTCTGTTTTTGCAGGCCTATCAACTACTAAGGTCACTTGGCCATCCGCTTAAACCGGGAAGATATAATGAAAGGTTTAATCTTCAGATTTAATATGAATTTGGTTGACCTTCTCATTAGCAGTGTTTGTCCATCATCTATCAGACTATTTAGCTTGCATAGCTTGTCACCTCCTAAGCACAATACAACAAATCCTCTGCATACAAACATAATCATATTGTCCTCTCTTCGTCTTTCAACAAGTGAATTGGCCGATTGGCGCAATGGTAGCGCGTGGTCCTCCTAAACAAGGGGTCTCAAGACTGAGGTTGTGGGTTCGAGTCCCATGTCGGTCGATATCTTTTTGGGCATTTTTTAACGATTGCCCATTATCCTTCTTTTCCTTCTGGGATTGGCTCCACATGCAAGTTACCCTCTTTCTTTTGCACCAAATAAACTCTTGTTCTCATTGTTTGCTATCCTGAACACAATGTCATGAAGAAAAGCTTGTTATTCATCAACTTACTCTGCTTTGCCCAAAGCCTCGAGAGTATAAAAAGGGGTCAAGCATGCTTAATATTAGAAAATGTTTTGGCGATAAGCTGAATGAACTGCGGGGTCACATCAGTCATAATTTCGACCAACAGAGGGGCTGTGATCAAAAAAAGACTGGTGATAAGTGGAAACGTGACAACCAACAAGCTTGCCATTGGAAAGGAGAACCAGGCTTAGTGATGGTGTAGATGGCCTCGTGGTGTGTTGCAACGGCGTGAATGGCCTGCTTGGCCTTGCTTGTTTGTTGCTTTATCGCAGTGTGAAGGTAGGTTGGGCGGGGTATTTTTCCCTTTTATTGACTCATCATTGCCGTTGAACCTTTTTTTTTGTGCCATCGACAAGTCCAATTGAGCTGAGCGAGGTAAATATTGAAACTGAATACTTTCTGTTCAAACAACAAGCTTTTAAACATCTTTTTCACACTTTCATAGACCACCAGACAAGGGATATTTTCGCCTTTCAAAAATCACTCCTCACCATCCAACATCATCATCATCATCACCTCGGTATCGACCACAAAAAATGGCCTTCACAATGCACTCCCACTCGGGGCAGTTCTGCCCCGGCCACGCCGTCGACTCGCTAGAATCCATCATCCTCCACGCCATCTCCCTCGGGTACAAAACCCTCGGCCTGACGGAGCATATGCCCCGCACCTCCGTCTTGGACCTCTACCCGGAGGAGCTCCTCCCCACCCCGCAAGCCACGCTCGACTCCCTCTTCCCCCGGCACGAGGAGTACCTCTCCACCGCTGCTTCTCTCCAAGAGAAATATGCAGATAAGATCCACATCTTGATAGGCTTCGAAGGGGAGTGGATCAGAGGCGAAGAGTACGGGTCGCTAATAGGCGAGCTGGCCAAAGACCCCAGGGTGGATTACTTTATCGGGAGCCTTCACCACACAGCTGGGATTCCTATCGACTATGACAAGGCGCTTTATCAGGCTGCTGTCAAGGCTTGTGGGGGTGCCGAGGATGGGCTGTATGAGAAGTACTTTGACGAGCAGTACGACATGTTAAGTGCGCTTCAGCCGAAGGTCGTGGGGCACTTTGACTTGATCAGGTTGATGAGCGAGGACCCGGCGAGGAAGTTGAAGTCGAACCCGAAGATCTGGGGGAAGATAGTGAGGAATTTGGAAAAGGTCAAGGAGTTTGGTGGGTGGTTGGAGGTGAACACCTCTGGGTTGAGGAAGGGGATGGTGGAGGGGTATCCTAAGAGGGAGATAGCTGAGGAGTGGGTGAAGATGGGGGGCAGGTTTACATTTTCTGATGATAGCCATGGGATCGGGCAGGTAGCGACCAATTATTTGAAGGGATTGGGTTATCTTGAGAGTTTGGGAGTACAGGAGGTTTGGACGTTGGAGAGAGAGACGCATCCGGGGACAGTGGGAGGGAAAAAGAGTGGGCTGAGGGAGAAGAGTGTGACGATTGGTAAATTCAAGGCAAGCTTATCGCTACCATGATGATAGTTGGATAGTGAGGGCTTGTCTATTTAAAGGAGAAAGATGTTGGATGATAATATTTGAGATTATAGAGGGATGGGCTAAGTCGGGATTCATATAGTTGCTAGACTGCTTAAAGTACAGGGAGCTTAATAGCTATCAATCAATATTTGATGCACGAATCGAGGCGTCAAGATATTCAAACCTTACCAGCTCGGTATAGAGTGAAAGTCAGAAAGGGCCTTCCCCGTCAGACGAGCTTTCTCAGCTACCTAATTAAAAAAATTCCCTTCACCTAGAGCTACCCAACATTAGCATAGTAGGGGCAATCAAGGCACAGCACGAAAAATGTCAAACCCAAAGCATTCCGCATGGCTCTGCGGCTTTGTCAGAAACCAGTGGCAGTCAACGGCGCATTTACAGGCACTCAGGTGAATAATCAAGAAGTTGAGAACATGATACCATTCTACAGCTAATTATTATAACCACCTCAGGAAATTAACGGACCAACCTATTCCTTCATTTTATGCATCATGATCTCAAAGACCTCCACCTCGTCCACCTCTGCGATGAAGCTCGAAGCTCAGGGAAGACGGTAATGATCTTCACTCGATGCTCTGGCGAGAGTGTTCGGGTTGCCAGCCTGCTCAGACTTCTTTCTATACCAGTTATCACATTAGACTACGACTTCCAGGCCCCCTGCCTACACCCTAGATCCCGTCCATGAAGGCCAATGTCATATCGCCGTCACCACCGACACGGCTGTGGCGGCGGCGGCAGCGACAGAGCCGCTTTCCCAGCTAGATTATGTCGCTCATTTCACTTTGAACTGGAAAATGAACTCGGAGCGGTATATCAGACGGACAGGCAATCTGAAACAGCAGGGAACAGTCGTTGACTTTTATGACGGAATAGTAAGTTTTCATGGGGTGTTGACTTGAAGATTCTAGGAGGACCAAACCGACATGCTTGGTTGTAGTGATGTGTACTGCTACTGTCGACTTCGGAATGCGCTTGGGTGGAGGTTTGAGGAGCATCTTGCTGAGTAGGACAGCTTCTTAAAATGGAGCATGCGCCTGAAGCAGGCTCAACGGATACTGGTGGACACGGAGAGTTAGAACAGGGTGGACTAGTCGTCCAGATAACACCATAGTTTATTGATATAATGGCTGGACCGGTTTCTCTAGTCGCTTCATATCTCTCGCAAAGTCAAGTGTCATCACTGGTTTATATATGCAGCCTATCCTCTTCTAGAGGGAGGATCATCACCACATTATAAGTGTATTATTTGCACATAGCAATCACATACGACCATAGGCAGTTGAAAACACGGGATCCCGTCCGCTCTCCCCTAGTTAAGCAATTGACCGCCGGACCAGTACTCAGGTGGGTGACCACTGGGGAATCCCCGGTGTTGTATGTTTTTCGGTGTCTTTTTGCTGTATTTTGACGCTGGCGATATTGTGGTCTTTGTTGCAGATGGTGTTCCGATTGTGTCGCGGCTCTGTTTTTGACAGGTGATTGATTGGGCTTCGGTATCCCGAAGATAATCTTGGGGATAACAGGAGAGTAGCCAATATCCCCCCACTCTTTTGTCCTTCGCTGTAGCAATGGCGCCCAAAAAAAAGTGAGACAACTGAACACAGTTGACAAAAAGAAAAAAGCTCACCGGCCAACTCCCGCATGAGTGGGAGAGGTAGCCGGCTACGAAAACCCAAGGGTTTTTAAACATCGGATAGAACAGGAGGCTCTCGGTGAGCACCGGGGGACAGTGGGCGGGAGTAGCCCCAATACCCTTACTATTTGACCACAAAGGCATTTTGGTGAGGACACTGGAGTTGGTTGAAGATTAAGGTGGTTGAACTAATGCATAAACCCTCTTACGGTGCGTTCCTGCAGTGAGTGCTTGGTGCCTGGGGATCTTGATGGCCGGCCTGCCTTTACGGAGTCCAGGTTGTTGACTCAACCATATTGACCAAGTCGTAGACAGTGAAGTTGTGGATAAACAACCGATTTTTGTAGATATGTTGGCATGATCAGCTCTGTTTCGGCCCCAGTCTCCAGGAATTCCAAGTTCAAAGAAAGGTTGATACTTATTGTCGTTATATCTCGGGGATTCGTTGCCTTACCTCTTTCCTTTGTTGATCCCGTGATTCAAACATATCGATATCCCCTGAAAATTGGCGTTGTGGCATCTTTTCCCCGTCCAACGTTCCCCATTGCTCGCGGTAAAGGATCGATCGTGGTAATCTCTACCTATGTGGCTCTACCCTGGCGAAGTGTCTGTTGTGCTGCTTCACCGATATGTCTCGGGGTTTGTCTCGTCCTGTTTGGCGTCTGATTGAGAGTCTCTGTGGTCTTGTTCACCACCGTCTCAGTTAACTCACGGAAGTGATGATGATTGAAAGCAGCAACGAAGATGGGAGAAGGTGGGCTAGAGCCACAGCGTCAGAAGCGACTCGCGGAACCCAAAGTCATCCAGGTCTTTGACAAGGCCCAGTTGCCAGAGCGTTGCTGGGGGAGCAGGCGCGCGCTCTGTCGTCGAGAATCTTTGTCATTGGGAGTGCTTCCTTCCTGACTGTCACCAAAATCTTCCAAGGCGTACCCAAATACTCGTGGCAATATTCGTACTTTCTTGTTTCCCGTTTCGGTTGGTGTGCCTAGAAGTTATTAGTGATTTTGTTGTTGGTCTGTGTTTATGCTGACCCTCTTGCCCCGATCCAACCACTGTTCCCACCCTCAAGTCGAAAACCACAGACATCATCACGCCTTAGGGAATTAAGAACATCGGGAAAATCAAGAGGAGCAAGGTGGCAATCTGTATTTATTATATCTTTCTACCTCTCCCTTTCATTAGTCCATGCCGCCTAGACCTGCCAGGTTTCCCGTTCACAGTCAGGAAGCTGACCACCCTTAATCAACACCTTACACAGCCGCAGTTTCCTCTCTCTAACCACAACATACTAGGCTCCGTTTAGCCAAATCTTGTTTTGCTACAATATCTACTCTATCTCAAACTCAGCGGCTCACCATGGCGGTGAGGCTGACTTTTCTTGAGTCTTTTTGCGACGACATCTATCACAAGGCTGAAGTGAAACTCTGATAGCCGATTAGAAAGACACTAGGGCAACAAAAAGCCTCGCAGAGCCCAGCTTGAGCCTGTGTCTGAGAGTCGGCCGAGGCTAAACCACTAGAAACAAGCCTGTCCCGAAAAGGCAGACGGCGAACGGTGTGAGAGGACGGCGAGGTCAGCTGATACGAACAGCCGCCCCCTGCAAGAGAGAAGGAAAACATCACAGTTGGACAGAAAGGTCACCGCAGCTGAGAGAGAACTTTCTAGAACCCTTCCAGTCCCTGGGTA